TTCGACATATCAAAAAACGTATTTAAACGGAGATATCGATTCTTTTTTAAAAATATCTTGTAGTTGGAGCTTTTTCTGATCAATCCAGGTAAAACAAACATTTGTTTTTATTTCGTCAATTTTTTGCCTCGTCAAGGTTTGTACAATAAAAAAGGACAGCTATCTTTAAAATGGGGAAACGCTTGAGTTTTCTAATACCATGCACATACTAGTTATAGCCAAAAAATTTTTTGTTTCGCATTACAATATTGCTTTATGATTTTTATGATGCTTTGGGATTGATGGATCATCATATGCTCTTAATGGAAATGCAACTGCTGAAGTAATCATTCCTGTTCATGAAAGGAAATGCAACTGTCGTGTTGATGATAAACGAAGCCAGCTGAGTACACAAATGAAAGGTTGTTCTTCTTTTTAATCATTTGGATAACGATCAGTCTAAAGCTACCACAAGAAAGAAAACATGTTTCTTTTTCTGAACGACGAAATTCTGCAAGAATCACTTTGTAATTCTTCAACTATAATTGTGGATTTCGATGATTTTCTCACAGAAGTCAAAGACAATTCAGAAGATCGTCACCTGCGCTCTTGGTGACATAGTTGAATCAGCTATCGAAGACGATACCAACCGAAGTTCAATAGTTTACAAACCTTCTCATCAGGTAATGTGTTTTTTGTTATGAAAATTATCTTCGTGGATACGTGAATAATTTATTTTATTACAATGTTTACCCATTTTAAAGATAGCCGAAACGAAATATATAAAATTCACATTAAATTCACAAAATTATAAATAAGTGCTATTTGACCCGTCTTAACTGGAATGATCAGTATCACTTCAACTTCAAATTAGCGGATCAAGACAGCTTACTTTTGATTTCAAATTTTGCAATATGGAGCGCTCAATTTTGTCTCCATCTGCATTTTATGACGTACCGTAATGTAGCTACAGCATATTTTAAACAACTGTTATCAAGAAAAAAAAGAAAAGTCATACAAAATAATCAAAAATTCTGATATCGTTTCCAAATAACGTTATATTTACAATTTCAAATAAGGTTTGTTTGGTTAGAAGGTTTTTTCCCGGATTCGCCGGTTTTCCTTCCTTTTCGTTTTGCCGTAAAAAAACTGTGTTCATGTTTTGGGGCCAAAGGATAGCTGCAACAATGTACAAATCGAATTATTTTCAATTTTATAATTCAGTCAGACTAATTAGTACGGAAGCTTCGTTTGGCTTCTGGGTTGAAATCCTAGAACACTACAAATTAGAGTTTTTATCGTCTAAAATCAATTAATAACTGGTGAAAAAATTTGCTTTCTTAGCTGTATTTACCGTGTAAGGAGCAAAATACGTAATATGATTCCCACCATTTTGTCTAACATATATATTTGTTAAGTATAAATGAAAAGAATCTTTGCGGTGTACGCCGTGCGCACATGTTTTTATGATGACCAGCACCTGAGTAAAGATGCAACGACTGTTTGAATCATTGAACTATAATAGATGGAAGGCTACCTGTAATAGAAAAGCCTAATAATTTTTTGAAGCCAAATTTGATACGGGTGTCCGGAGGTCAATTTACGTGTATCACACGCGCGAAGCTACACGTCACGCGAGATTTGTTAAAGAAACATATTTTTACCGAAGACTTTTTCTCATTTTGCTCAAAGAATAAACGTTGAAAAATATTGTGACATTAAAGGTGATGGGGCTTAATCGTTATTCAGTCAATTATCATGCTTTCTACTGAATACGTATTTTGAAATGGCAAGTACGGTGGAAACGTAAACAAACAATGATACATCGTTCATTTTATACACATCGGAAACGTTGCATCAAGTACTAGTTTAGTTCGAAAGAATTCAACTGGTTGTATTCAATTATTAACATGAGTTTCTCCTTGGAATATTTCGGGATTTGTATATAACCCTTTCTACAGAAGCCATTAGTTTTTGTAAAAAATGATGTTCGAAATCAGGTGGCATGTATGTTTTTCACAAAGCTAAATTAACTGAAGTTGTGAAAGGCGAAAAGTTATCAGATACATATAAAATGAAACGCTATGGGAGGATTTCCTTTGCTGGTGCATAAATTCATCCAACATATCATGGGTATAATTTAATTTATCTTTTAAAACCAAATCTCGTCTAAGTTCGTACTAAAAATTGTATTTTTTTCTAAAATTGTACGTCGAATTAATAATGATGGTTTCGTAGATCGTACAAGTTATTTTTTCGTTCTATACTATTGGCCGTGTGTTCACATTGCGTGGAAAGACTGGGCGCTACTGGCTTCAAAGTATCGACTGAGATAGCCTTCTTATCTATTTCCACATCCTACCATATCCACTTATATAGGTTTTATACAACAAACTGCTACTCTCGCATTATTTTGGATCATATGTTTTACTCCTGGGGCAAAAAAGAATTATTATGATGACAAGACTGTAATAGAACGGTTTGGTGCGAAAACTCATGTTTGCTAAATTTTATATAGAAATCTTCTCGCGTTGCTTAAAAATCATAATAATAGATTTGGCATGATTTCTGAAAGAGAAATTAACAAGAATACAAAATACAAGGAAAATTCATCATAAAATATATGCTAGAAGTGAATAGTCTAATATGGCCGCCGCTGTCAAAAATTGCCTTCAAAATTTTCTAGGCACCAGAATTAGTTTGCGTTTTCCAGTCTTTATATATATCAGTGGTCAGTTACAAATATAGAGAAGGAAAAATACTCCTGAAATTTGCATAAAACCGTGTTGAACTTTGCATAAACTTATCAAACTACACTGAAATGTATCAGAACGTATTTTAAACTATATTAGCTAATCCTTTCTTGAAGTATAGTTCTTCCAATAGAGTAGAAAGAAATGCTTTAAGAATCATAAGTTAACGGTCTTAGAGTAAAAAACGTTAACTGAAAATAACCAACTCTTTACAATGTAAAGAATCGCGAACTATTGGATACCTTCCATCATTTTTGATATTCTTTTTCATGATGTGCTTGATTTTGTTATTACTGGGTAGAATTTATTTCAAACGATTGAGTAAGTTGTGTTGCTTTTGAATCCCTACAGTAGTTATTGATGATAATTATTGTCATTCATTTCTTCATGTGTATATTTTGAATAAATCTAAGATCATTACATGAATTTAAATTTTCCATTTGAAATTATGCTATATTTTCAATATGTTTGAATCCATTTTATTTACGATAAAAACAATAATTTCTTGGCTTTTTTCGGGGCATGTTGGTGGCAATCTTCAAAAGTTGAATTCCTCATGAGGTACTGTAAGAAGAACAGTAATGGTAAACCACCTTTATTGTCGATCATTTATTTCTCTAGTTGTGTTTCTCTCTTTGTTGAGCAAAGCACTATAAATCTTGTATTCATTAGGACAACTGAAACCAAATTCCAACACCAGTAAAGCTGTAATCAAGAATATCACATGAGATAACCGTCTTGCTCTGGTGGGTTGCTTTTTCGCAGCAGGTGTCAAGGTGCGAAAAGAGCTATTCCTTCGTCATCAGCACTTATTTTCAATATTTTGCTGCTAGTCTATTTAAGTGATCAGTGACTTGAGCGATGAAACGATTTGCAATACCAGGAAAACGCGTGATCACTCATTTATGAATAAATTACTGAGGCTACAAACCACAAATGGAAAAGAAAAGTCACAAGAAAAGTTTGTTAAGATAATTACTTTGAAATGATATATTGAAGTAATTTTCAATCAGACATGAAAGTCATTCACAATGACAATCTCCTTTGATTTCCTCCAAATAGTCTACACTTTACCAAGATTGCAACACAGTTCGAAGAAATTCCATGTCCCATCTTCTTTGGAAGCTGTTTCCAGTGCTTTTCTTAGAAAATTAACACTTCTGATTAATAGAATTAAATTTGCTGTAATTAAACGTACATTTTAGCAGGAAACCATACAAGTTTATAAGTTAATGAAAAAAAAACGATCAAGGCTTGTTTCAGTGGAATTTATTGGAAAACAGTTGTATTATTGTCTGCTTTGCTTGCAAACGTACTAGCATTGCAGTACTTTAACTATCTCGAACAAGCACTGCCACTGTTCAAAAAAGCTGCAAGTTCATTGAATTAAAGCAAAAACAAGTTAATACAACTCATACCACTTGACAGTCATACAGAGGATGATCTGAGCAAGGTCGATAATAAAATCGTTAAAGTCAGGAGAGAAACAGGAAGACATGGCGACGAATTTCGATTTAAATTATATGACTTAACGGTTGGCAATAAAAAACGTCGATTTGCAATACAGTACGTTAAAGAGCCCTTGAATACCCTAAAAGAAATGTGCCTGATGAAGGACAGTCAAGCGGTGACACCGTGACACATGACAATCGAAACGAGCAAGTAAAATTATTTCAACGTACCTTGTTTGACATATTCAATCATCAACTCAGAAAAGTGTATAAAGAAGCCTGCTTAATTGTGTCATTTGATTACGAAGAACTGGAGTTTTCGAAGAATGGAGGCTTGACTAAAGTTATTATTGATAGTGTTGAAAATTCACAAGATGAAAGTGACAAAATTGATGGCGTTCCTGGGTTTGTTAAGCTTGAGAGACCTAAACAAACCGATGACGGAGGAAAAACCTTAAAAACGAAGAAAAGTGACTCGGATGTTTTGATTTCATCAAGCAAAAATAAAACAACACTTAGAAAAAGACAAAATTCACATTTAAGTGAAATAGTTATTGTAGCCGATCTTGATGGAGGTGATGTTGGGCAGTCAACGAAACATGGGGTAGAGAATAGTGACGTTTAATTTTTATAATTTTTCAGGGAATGTACAGCAAAAAGGGTGGAGGGCATGTTATTACTATTGCTATAACCCTCATAGTGATTTACAGGCATTTTTAATTTTTCTAATTTGCTCCCAGACCCTTAACTGCCGCCCACCATAAAAATGCTTCCCAACCTCTTTCATGTATTTCACATCAGAATTACAACTTTCTGGTTATCTTTCATCGTAAATTAAAATTGATTTAAACTTATTGAAAAATAGCGTACTTTCAAAATGGAAATTTAAATTTACATATTGATTTTAGATTTATTCAAAATATACACATAAATAAATGAATTATAATAATTATCGTTAATTGTGATTTATATGGAGTACAAAAACAACACGCGCTATCATTTATAATAAATTCTACGCAGTACTAACAGAAACAAACACATGCTAAAAATGAATATTAAAATCAATGAAAGGTATCCACTATTTTGTGATTCTGTACATTGTAAAGAGTTCTTTCTTTTCAGTTCATGTTTTTTACTCGAAGACCGTCGACTTCTCTTTCTTAAAGAACTTCTTTCCACAGTATCTGCCTGACTCTCAACTACATTTGTTTCATCTTGATTTGATACAATATTCTGTACGTTTTCACCTTCAACTGCATTGCCATGAGGAACATCGCCATTTTTCTCGCCATTGCTTTGCATCTTTTCCTCTGATTTTTTCTCGTTTTCACCCTAAAAAATGTTTCGAGAATCTTTCAAAAGCTCAAAACAGTTTTGAATTTTTGTAAGAAAGCAGTAATTCGGTTTATTCATAGAAATAAATCATACTTTGAAATTTATCTGTGAAGCTAGTTCTTTGTCTTCATTGCTTGTGCTTAAATCATTGTCACAATCCTCTATGGAGTTGAAATAAAGTCTTAAAAGACTGTAAACATTTGGAAAACTCTAACAATACATGTTCTTTTCTAACCTTTCAGGGAATCGGAATTACAACTGCCACAGACATTACAAGTCCAATTTATCGATCTGAAGGTACACAAATAAAGTTACTTAATGTTACAAAATATAACATAATTGGCATGGTTCTAATATTGCACAAACTCTCCATCAATCTACAAGCAGAATGAAAGTTGGTCATAAAATGTAAAATAAATTGATACTTTTTGGCCAAAATTTTTCTTTCATTGCTTGTATAATCCAAAGCACCAATAGCTCCTCCTCCTTTCGAAGGCATGAAACCAATGATGGCCAAAAGGACAGTTCGTACTAAAGTAACATGAATGTTTAAATCACATGCTAAAAGATGTCTATACATCTATAACAATGATAATAGATCTATGTTATGGAGTTCTTACTGCTCCACGAAGGTTGCCAGGTTTCAGGATGATGTGAAGACATACTTAGACAGATCTTTTTACCAAGTTCAAATCGACCATTAGGCTGCAAAAATAGAAATACTACACACTCTTGTCTAGACACTTTTAAAAGTCTTCTTTTTTATAAATGATGATGTGATAGTCCAAAGTTGCACAGTAACAGTTTAACAAATTTTCTTAAAAATCAAAGCTGTGTAGAAAATCCATTAATGATGACTTAAAATGGATGGCTGGTTGGCCAACTCCACCAGAAATATGAAGCCAGCAATTCAACTAACCAGTCTCTCTCCTCAGTCACTCTCCTTTCATGCACAGACCAGAGAAAGATTATTGAAACCAGTGGCATAAAAAACTTGATTATCTGAAGTAGTTGAGTCGTATTCATATATGCATGTTATGATTCCTAGCAATAAATTCATTTCAAAGGAACTTGATTTGGCAAAAGAAATATGAATCCCAATCATAGCTGGCTACGCTACTGTACTACTGATTATATGCTGGCTATGGTAAACTATGAAGTGACATGTGTATCCGGGTGCAATATTAGGCTTTAAGCAAGGACAAGCATCTTTACATAAAGTATTATGCATACATATGTATAAGTGGCATTCACTTGTCTACACACTTTTAAAAGTCTTTTTTATAAATGATGATGTGATAGTCCAAAGTTGCATAGTAACAGTTTAACAAATATCTTAAAAATCAATAAAGCCGTGTAGAAAATCCATTAATGATGACTTAAAATGGATGGCTAGTCGGCTAACTCCACCAGAAATATGAAGCCAGCAATTCAACTAGCCAGTCACAATCCTTTCGCACAGACCGAAAAAGATTATTGAAACCAGTGGTATATGTAAGAAGCTTGATAATCTGGGGGAAGTGAGTTATATTCATATATGCAGGTGACGATCACTTGCAATAAATTCATTTCAAATGAACTTAGTTTGGCAAAATAAATATGAACCCCAATTATAGCAAGCTATGCAACTGATTCTATGCTGGCTAAAGTGGCATGAGTATCTTGGTGCAATATTTGGCTTTGTGCAATTAGAAGCATCTTTACATGGAGTCTTATGCATACTTATATATAAGTTAAATCCACTTATAAAATTAGTTCAATGAGCAATACTTACAGTTAACAACATGATACTTGGGGGTTTCATGGGATATTCTGGTGGTAATATGATACGTCCATGATAGCGACCATTTTCAAAGTCACTATCAGCTGGACCTCGAACTGTGAAATGCCACTCAAAGAGATTATCCTGAAATAGATAAAACTTTATGTTCAAAAATTAGGATGAAATGTTTGTACAAATGGTCATACTTTACATACCTCAAGTGGTTGGGCATAATATTGAGCTGTCGGTTCTCGAAGTTCTTTGGCTTCTCGCATTAAACGTTTCACGGCTGTTGTCAAAGTTGAGCAAATATTTTAAACGTAAATTAGCACAAAGGAATGAAGGTTCAACCATGTACATTTTCATCACAATTTACGAAGAAGTACGACATAGTTTTAGAAGGAACAACACTTGACATCGTTATTGCAATCGGTTTATTTTTATAAGAGCAACGGAATAATCGAATTTTACGCTTAAACTTAAACTTTGTGATGATAATTCCAAATTAATAAGTCCGAAAAACATTTTCGTATATCCAGCGTACAAGAAACTGTATTGTGTGGAGAATTCTGTTTACATTTTTAATATTTTTACCTGGACTTTTTAAATTATATTTTCTTTCCATCGACTAACGGTAATCTCTTACGACAAGCCAAAGATATTATATTTATGACTAAAGAAGGAAGCATGTAGAAAATATTATGGTAAAATCCATCCAATGAACCAAATTACCATAAAAATATAAACAAGAAAGGAGAACCAACCAAAATATTACAACACATTATGTGTGGTGTCATCAGAGTTAAAAACGTGGATTGGATTGAGTTAAGACATGGATTATATTGACGGATTGCATCGTAGTTTAGATCACTGAACTATAATAGAGTTATAATGGTTTAGATAAAGACGAGTTAAGGATTAAGACTAGGAGTTACTAATTGAAAATACTGCTGCCAAAATTTTAGAGGAAAACCCGTGTTTCAAAAATCTTACATGATCTGATTGATTCCTCTCGAAATTTTGCTGCATTTACTGCTCTTTGTCTTTTTTCACTGCAAAATTAATGTAAGAACTATATTGATCTTTAATTGTAAAAATATCCAGGATGTATGATAAAGAACGTATGTTATATGTAATAAATTTATAGGCAATAAGAAGTTATGATAAACACTATGTTCCTACACCAATGGCTGCACGATACACAACAAATAAAAAATTATAAAAGTTAAAAAAATATTAAATACACTACAGTTTACCAAAGCAATTTCTGAAGAAAAGTTGCATACAAAGTAAATCGAGTTCGCTTATTTTTGAGCTGGTAGATCTCGTGGGTCGCGTGCTTTATTATAAACCTTTTTGTCGCTCATAAAGAGAATTGTAACATTCAAATTTTTCCATGCCCATATATGGTAATTTCTTTGGAATAGCTATCTCATATGCTCGTAGGAAAGCAGTCAGTCAGAACAAATATCTTCCGCAGAGGCTAGAAAGAGAGAATTGGTTAAATTTGCGGCCTTATCATCATAAAAACTCGAGATTACGTTTATGGCAAAGTTCTAAATGGCTAATGGCGAATTTTGGAAGGTCGTTTCAAAGAAGAATGTCAATGGCAACTACAGCGTCGCTTTAACCATATTGCTTAATGAGCTCTGAAAATGACTGTAATAGAACAAGAAAATTCACCGGTAATTTACACGCAGTTTACATCTCTTCCTGAAAAGCGAGGCGCGAGAGCCAAATACGTAACTTCTGTTTTATCTTTCGTTACTGCGTTAGTGGTGTTGATATTTTGTTTTATTTATCCCAATTACTTCGACGATGAGCGTACATTTCAAGTCATCAAGGAGGGAAACACGACGGGAAAATACGTCTTAAGCAAAGAAATTCTTGGATTCTCCTTTTCACTTTCAAGCGCATTAAGTTTGTTTGGTGTCGTACTTGGAACGTTTATTGAACGGCTTTCGCTCGTTGCTGAAGAATACAAGCATAGAAAACAGCGTTATGGCGGAATTTAGAAAGCGATGTTTAAAGCTTGTTTTAGTGGAATTTTTTGGCGTCCGGTATGTTTTCTTATGATATTGGCTGGTGTATTATTAGTATGGACTGCTATGGTCTTTATCAGACACTTCTACACAGGTAAGCCCATCTTTGAGATTCAATATCTTGTTTGTATCTTTGGTGGAAGTGCTGTTGGTCCTCTAGTCACGTATCTATTTGATCTTAACACGCAATCTGACGTTCATATTTCGAAGATTCTTGAAGAAAAACAAACATTCGTTGCAAGCGGGCTCGCATGGCATTACTACTTTAATCATCTCAAATTCGCACTGCCAGCCTTCAAAAAAGCTGCGGGTTCGTTGAAAAATTTAAACAGTGATAAGTTAGTATTGCTCATACCAGTTAACTTCTGCACTGATCATGAATTGGAAAAGATCGATAATAAAATTTATCCTGTCGGGCAAAAAAAGGAACGTGATTGTTCGTTTGGAATATACAATTTGAAAGCGGGCGATAAAAAACGCAAGTTTGCCATACAATTTGTTAAAGCGCCTTTAAACACTTTAAGAGAAATGTGCAAATTAGAGGAAATTTGCGCTGTAACAAAACAAACTTTTGAAGAGCAAGTTAAGTTATTTCATCGTACTTTGTATGAATTTTTGAGTAATCCACCGGACAGTGCCGGAAGAGAAGCGTGCATATTTGTGACTTATGATTACGAAAACTTAGATATTTTAAAGAAAGGAGGTCTTAATTAATATATAGACATTGCTGAAAATTCGTGTGATAAGATTGATGGTAGAATTCCTGGGGTCGTTGTAGCTAAGAGACGTATACCAACCGATTACAGAGGAAAATCTTCAAACGCGAAGAAAACTGACTTGGATACTTCGAGTTCATCAAACAAAACAGTTAGAGTAAGGAACAAGAACAGAACTCCTGTCCATGGAAGAATAGAAGAAATGCAAGCTCTTGATACAGTTAGGCAAGGAGCAGTTCAAGAAAGTCGGGCAAAGAAACGTTAAGCATTCATAACTTTTTACATCCTTTTGTGGCTCCATTGTCGTATATCGACTTAACTCTTTCAAATTGAAATCATGAATTGAAGTGGCATTTAAAAGTTTTTCACATAAATAAATGAATAAATTAGTATATTTGTCGTCATCTGTGTTACAGCTCAATTAGGTTTTTTCACTCTTAACGCCGTCAACGTCCTTTTCTCGGAGCATTTCTTTGTACCATCTCTGCCTGACTCTCACCTATATTTATTTCATCTTGATTTGGTACAAATTAAAGTCTTGTTTTAAGCATCATCTCTTCGTTTGTGATTGATTGTCATCTTTCCTTGTCTTCATTAAAAACATGCGGAAGTAAAATTTTTGGATTTCACCGAAGCAGAGTGGCATTTGATGATAAGTCTGTAGAAATGCATCGTACCATTTAATTTTATAGCTATCTTCATTTTGGTTTTTAACAGCTCTTTGAGGAATTACACAATTGTCATTCACCTTGACAAATAAGCTGTTCACAGAAATATTTAAGTTTGTAACCTTTTGTCCACAACCAAGTCTTTGTTTTACATACTAGCTGAAGTCAATTCTGCCAAAATTTTGCGTTATCTATATATATTGTCACACGTAAATTGTTTTAACGCAAAAAGTTTTTTTTATGTTATCTTGATGTACATACATTCTGATATAAATACATACTTTATGCACAAAGAATATTATCTTTTACACAAAATTATTTAACACACAACTAAATTATATATTAAGTATACTTATGTTGAGCAATTAGAATATTTCACAATACAGAATGTTTATCATATTGTTACGTTTGTACTCTCTTTTACATAAGGAACCGTACAGTAATTTATATCGTTTTATTGCATGGTGCAGTTGCCTTCTAAATGATTTGCTAGTTCTTCGGCATATTGATCTGTTAGAGAAACTTCAAAGAAGAGAAAACAAATAAGACATGCAGTTATTCATACAGCAATATTTCGAATTTATTGGAAATTAATCATGACATTGGATTTACAAGTTAACTGTGGGAATGTTTATGTGTGTAGTGACATTCTTTTGAAGGAAGAGTGAATATGTTGGGAAGGGTTAGTTGATTGTGTAGATGTAAAATCGAAGAATGATACTTCTTCGCTGTTAAATTTGTAAATTTGTTAATTGTGAAAAAGAGAATTGTTGATCAATCCTCTTTCCCATCGCCAGAAACGTTCCATGATGAAGGACAAAGAAATGAGAATGAACCAGTTAGGCATGAAAAAAACCTAAGCAACGCTTTCGAACAAGGGCTACTTCAAAGTATAATAGCTTGGAATGGTCATAAAATCAATGAACTGACCTGTTGTGCCTTACAGTAAAGATAATTCCAAATCTCTTTCGTTTTCTTTTGGTATAACCTCGTTCTATCTCTTAGTTTATTTACGTTATGTCTTAGCTTTTAGACTGCAAAATGGAAAATGAGACGTAAAATTGGAATCCCTCTAGCAAACACAAACTGCATATCTCAGAAACGTTTGGGAGAACTCTTCAGCAGTTGCAAACTGTCGACCTTCGGTCGCGGGCTTGGATTTATCTTCTTTCGAATTCTCCCAACGGTCTCCTTGCAAACACTTTAAACATCTTTTATTTCTTACATGATAAATTCAGTGAAAATATAATAAGCAATAGGAATGTTTGCTCAATGCTCGGAGCCAACACCCTCGCTAACTGCCTAAATTCACTGCATCCAACAGGGAATGCTGGCTCAAGAACAAATTTGGCCTATTGTTGGAATCCTGGGGCCGGTTGCACGAAGCGTTATCCATTGAATAGCAAGTTTTTTTAAGCTTTTATAAAACCTTTAAAAAACAAAAAGTATTAGATTCAAACTAAGCAATGACTGAAATAAAACATTGTTTCGAAAATTACGAAATTTCTTTGTGGTAAGAAGAATATAAGCACCTTTTTTACAAGTTTGAAAATTTTTGCTATCCAATGGATAACACTATTAAGGCTTCGTGCAACCGCCCCCTGGTTACTAGCCTTGCAAAACTGTTGGCCGCTCATGACGTGGCAGCTATCGTGTGTGTAATTGTATGTGTTGTATTGTAATGCGATGCAGGCTAAACGAAAACTATCTTTGAAAACAAATACTACATCAGAGAGAGAAAAAATTGTTTGAATTTTACGGTATTATATCTTTACCACATCGCGAGATTTCTTTGACGGCAAAGTTTACAATAATTTATTCACAAATTTTGGATTTTGCAATAATAATGTTGATGTCAATTACGGGCAAGTATTGCTGAGACAGGAAGTCGTAAAGCATTGAAAATGGCTGTCATAGAACAAGAAAATTCTCCGATGATTAAAACACACTTTACATCTCTTCCTGAAAAGCGTGAGACGAGAGCAAAATATGTTTCTTCTGTAATATTTTGTCTTTGGTTGCAGTGTCACTGGTTCTAATATTTGGTTTTATTTTGTATTCCAATGAGTACGACTTCGAGCGTACATACTATATGAAAGAGGGAAATACAACAGGAAAATACTTCACCAGGAAAGAAATTCTAACGTTCCCAATTATATTTTCAACTGCATTAAGTTTGTTTGGCTTCTTACTTAGAACATTAGTTGATCGTCTTTCACTCGTCGCTGAAGAATACAAACATAAAAAACAGCGTTATGGCGGAAGTTGGACAAAGATGATCGAAGCTTGTTTTGGTGGAGTTTTTTCGGGTCTAGTATTTCCACTGATAATACTGGGTGTAATATCAATCATTCTAACAATTGCCGTCCGTTTCGACAAGTCTTGGGTTGAGATTCAATATCTTGTGTGTATATTTAGTGGAATTGGTATTGGTTATTTAGTTATGCAGTTATTCAATTTAAATACGCAATCTGAAATTCATATCTCAACGATTCTAGAAGAAAATCAAAGTTTCGTTTCGAACGGACTAGCCTGGCATTACTACATCAATCATCTCAAATTCACTGCCAGCCTTCAAAAAGCTGCTAGTTCGTTGAAGAATTTAAACAGTGATAAGTTACTATTACTCATACCAGTTGACTGCTACACTCATCATGAATTGAAAAAGATCGATAATAAAATTTATCCTTTCGGGCAAAAACGAAGAAAATTTTCGTTTGGAATATACAATTTGAAAGCGGGCAATAAAAAACGCAAGTTTGCTATACAATATGTTAAAGCGCCTTTAAACACTTTAAGAGAAATGCGCTGGAAGGAAAATGAGGCTGTAAGAAAGGAAACTTTGAAAGAGCAAGTTAAATTATTCTATCGCAAGTTGTATGAAATTTTGAAAGATCCACCGGACGGTGGCTGTAGAAAGCGTGCATATTTGTGACTTATGATTACGAAAACTTGGATATTTTAAAGAATGGAGGTCTGGCCAAATGTATCATAGATACTGTTGAAAATTCGTATGATGAGATGGAAGGTAGTTTTCCTGGGGTCGTTGAACCTAAGAGACGTACACCAACCGATGACAAAGGAAAATCTTCAAACGCAAAGAAAACTGACTCGGATACTTCGAGTTCATCAAACAAAACAAATAGAAAAGGGAACAAAAACAGAAATCCTGTCCATGGAAGAATAGAAGAAATGCAAGATCTTGATACAGTTAGGCAAGGAGCAGTTCAAGAAAGTCGGGCAAAGAAACGTTAAACATTCATAATTTTTTACATCCTTTTGTGGCTCCATTGTCGTATATCGACTTAACTCTTTCAAATTGAAATCATGAATTGAAATGGGCATTTTAAAACTTTTCACTAAAATAAATGAATAAATTTTAATATTTGTCGTCATCTGTGTGTCAGCTCAATTAAGTTTTTCCACTCTAACGCCGTTAACCTCAGTTACGTTACTTTCTGAGACTTCTTCATAGAATTTATTGTACTGTCTCTGCCTACTCTCACCTTTATTAATTTCATCTTGATTTGGGACAATTTAAAGCCCTGTTTTAAACATCACCTCCCCGTTTTGGACGATTATAATTTTTCCTCGTCTTCATTATAAACAGAAGTATATAATTTTTGGTTTTCATCTAACCAGAGTGGCACGTGATAATAAGTCTGACGAAATGCATCGTATCACTTTTAATTTTATAGCTGGTTTTTAACAGTTCTTTGAAGAATCACACAATTGTCATTCACAACGACAAATACACTGTTCACAGCAATATTCAAGTTTGTAACCATAACTAAGTCTTTGTTTAATATAGTCTTACTAGCCAAGGATAATGCTGCCAAAATTTTTCGTTATCCATATATATATTGTCACACGTAAACAGTTTGAAGGAAACTGTTTTTATTTTAATTTCGTGTACATATACATTCTGATATAAATACATACTTTCTATACACAAAGAAAAATACCTTTTACACAAAATAATTTAACACGCAAGTAAATTATATATTAAGTATATTTATGTTGAGCAAATAGAAAATTTCAAAATACTCTCTTCTACATAAGGAACGGTACAGAAATTTATATCGTTTTATTGCATGGTGCAGTTGCCTTCTAAATTATTAGCTAGCTCTTCGGCATATTGATCTGTTAGAAACGTTTGAAATTCGTCAATATCTTTTGATAGTTCGTTCACTTCTTCAGTGAGCAGCTGTTCGTCGTGGTTTCTTAAAGAATCACCAGCACCTATTGAGTAGTTTGATTTTTTTGAAAACGGAGAAGCACCATCTAAAGTTGATTGCAGTATAGCATATAATTTTCTATGATTTGAGAACGATCAATGGCGGAATAGTGTACACAGTACAAACATATTTCACAAGAGATTATTGTGAAATGGGAAAATCATTGTTCAAGAATTTAATAGATTATAGAAGCATTGCTGATCAATTCTCCTTCCTATAGTAAAAAACATTCCTTTGCAAAAGACAATGAAACAGATTGAATCAAGCGCACATCAATTATACATAAAAGAGGCGCTTAAAAACTCCGGTTACTTTAAAATAAGACATCTTGGAATCGTCATAAAATCAAAAACCACTTGCAACTGACCTGCTGTACCTAAGAGTAAAGATAATTCCAAATCTCTTCCTTCTTTTCTCTGTTGGTACAATCTCATTATGTCCTTTAGTTTATTTACGTTTCGTCTTAACTGTTGGAAAAAAATCATATGATATGTTTAAGAAGAGGCATAATAGAGAACTGTTTGCCGATTAAACTCTCCTATCACCCTCGATCCTTTGATGTACCTGTTTGTATATTTTTCTATTAGTTTCAACGGTTTCTTTGGTATTAATGATTTGCATCTGTAAGAAAGAGTTAACTGTTGCGAAACACACTCGAAGAACACAAAATATAACATCAATATATTGCCTTTTTAAGCTTGTCGTTAATGTCCAACTTTTCTTCTACGAGATTCTGACATTGTGACGATAACTACAGAAAATAGACAAAAACTGTTGAAGGTTTTACTGTAAGGATATTTAACATAGCTTTAGATTTAATGCTTCTTTATATAGTTCAAATGCTTTGTTTGGTCAGGCCCTTCGTGTTGCATCATCCTAAGAAAGCTAAGGGTTCGGCTAATTTTCCGACTAAAATTTCAAGGACATTTCAAAGACCTTTTAAGTCAAACACATCGATTTTCAAGGAGTAAAATTCAAATTTATTCGGCTATATCCCTGAGGTAGTCAGCAAGCGTTTTATGCAGTTTCAAGTAATTATGTAAGACACGTAACATGCATATACGCTTACTAAAGACAGAGGAGTTCCAAATTTGCCATCATAATGAAAAATGGAAAATCACTATTACCGAATGAATATTCAAGTGGGTTTCAAGGAGTTTGACATTTGTCTATTTCAAGGGCTTTTCAAGTGCTCTTAACAAACTGCAATTTTGATTCAAGGGCTTTTTAAGGAGTTTAAAGCGTAGCGCGAGCCCTGAAAGCTAGTTTTAGACGATTAACTCTTACTTGCTTCATAGAACTTTTAAGTTCACTAATGTTTAATTCTTTCTTCGAAATCTCTTCACGCAAGGCGGCAACTGTATCCTTGAGATAATAAACAGCAACACAAAATATTTCATCAAAATTTATAAACGCTTCAAAGTTGCATTTAACGAAGGAGCCCAAATATACGAAATTATAATTTTTGAATTTTGTCCTACAGTATCATTGAACATCGCTCACTATCTCTCGCTTTCCTCAGCTAACCTCTTCTTGCGACAAACGTTGCTCTAATTTCTTCTGTGATTCTTGGGATTGAAGATAAAACTGTTTTTGTTTCCTCTGCTTTTCATTGATCAACTACAACAATATGAAACGATATAAGGAAGAGATTAATGATCAGAGCATGCGCAGTAGCCTTTATCAAGAGTAAGTTGATGAGCTGTTGGTAAGATAGAAAGAGCAAGTTGCAAATACAGTTACATATCATTATACTGTGTATAAGATGGCTATAAACGGCTTTACGTGATTTAGGGCTATTTGGGACGGTTTTAGATAGGAAAATTACGTAAGTCGGCGAATTGGATAAAGGTGGCTGATGGGAAAATCCTCGTTATAAAGAATGATTGAAAAACCTTTTCCATTTTTTCTATATCTGCCTGAAGTCTTTCATTTTCAAACATAACATGTTCCAGTTCCAACGCCTTGGAGTGAGCATCGTCGTTCTTCATTTTATCCTGAAGACTAAATACAACAACAGGAGCAACAATGAAATGAAACAAACCATACATAGAACCAAAAATATCTGAGTAAAATAAGGAAGAAAATGTGCAAACCTTTTCACCATGCGTCTTAAATCGAAGTTTTCTCTTTCAAATCTGTCGGCATTCAAAGCCTAAATTGAGACATTTAATATATCAACAGAATGCGTTAGCAGTGTTAGCTACACAGTCGTTTCAAATCTGTCGGCATTCAAAGCCTAAATTGAGACATTTAATATATCAACAAAATGCGTTAGCGGGGTTAGCTACACAGTCGTTTCCTTTGTAACAGCTGGCTGTTTTCCGACCTTTCTTCAAGATCTTTGCGACCGGAAGTAAATTTTTCTTCATTCTCCTTAATCTGTTCTTGAAGTTTACAACAAAGGTGTTTCCAATGTTTAGACTAGAGAAAATGACAGCGAAGGTTGAATTTCTTTCAATTGAAATTTAATACGACGATGTTTCATAACAAAAATAGCTCTAGAAATGATACTTTATTTCGTAGCTTCCTAAATTCGTCAGACGTCGGCAAATCCCCGACATATTTGTCCAGATTCTCGATTCTCATCCTAAAATCGAGAAAAATACGAATAAAATCCTAAGCATTAAAGCACAAACAAACAATCATTTCGTACGTTAGTTCACTCTTCTCTTCGGCCAGTCTTTTGATTTCTCTCTTCGTTTTTTCAAGTTCTAAATCCTTCGCATTTATCTAAATTAAAAGTGATTCCTCTTTTCATGATTACTTTCATGCAATTACATTTTTGTAGATTTAGATCGTCCAGGTTAGTAGAGTCCTGAGAAGGACTGTTGATGTTAACTGATATTTAACTATACTACCATTCACTTAACAGATGCAAAAAACTCATATTTTATAGTCAATATTTTACATTAACTTTAATAACTTGCCAGATCTTGATATTTTTTGTACCATTCACTTAACAGACGCAAAAACTCAAATTTTATACTCAATATTTTAAATTAACTTTAATAAATTGCCAGATCTTGATATTTTTTTGTACCATTCACTTAACAGATGCAAAAACTCATATTTTATACTCAATATTTTAAATTAACTTTAATAACTTGCCAGATCTTGATATTTTTTTTGCCTCGGCAGACTTCTCATTTAAAGTCTCTTGAAGAACTTTTTCAAACTTTTCCAATTCGTACTCGGCATCGCTGAACGAAGAAATTAATCGGTAGAAAGTAATTCGTCGAAAGCTAACCAAAAGTTAACTGTGCATACCCTAAATTTCTCCTTAATTTCTCAACTTCGTATTTTGGAGCAGTTTCAGCTTCAAGTCTTGCACGCAAATGCTCGACATCTCTCTCCCGATCCTGCAATTTCCTCAGGAGATCATTAGAATTTCTTTCGTCCAATTGTTTCTCAAGTTTCGCTATGTATGTCGACTGCCTGTAATTTTGTAAATGACGGAAAATTTTTGAGGTAAACTTTTCTCGGAGAATGCAAAATCAATGTACCTGTAAGCAGAGATACGTTTAATTGAAAAAATTCTACTAAAGAGATATTTCTGCTTCAGAATTTTCATATGTTCCAGTAAACTTTTGCCAAGTGCATATGGCAAAACAAACAATTATCATGCTTGATCTAAACCTGTTCTGTGACATATATGATCATATGAATATGATACAAGAGACAATCAAGATGAATTGTAAGAGAAGTTAAGGAATACATTTTTGCCAAAAGCAGAAATTTCTTGCTAGATTTATTGTGAAATCTGTACACACATATAGTATGGATTTCAATCTCAAGTTTCTATAGTGTCTATAGTAAGTTTCTATAGTGTCTATAAGAAGTTTTTTTATTGTCTATTTTTATTCATAATCAAATGCACTGTTTGGCAGGAGGTAGTATGTCATTGATGTGCAACAGTTCTGACAGGAAGGCAGAGGAAGTAGAAACCATTCCCCTCCCTTTCCCTCCCCTCCTCTTATGGTAAAATACATTCAAAGCTATGGGCTTCATTTTACAAGTCAAAATATTAAAAACAGTACTATCTAAGTATCATGTTCTGGCATCAACCCTCCCCCAAACAACAAATAAACCAGGTTGGCATTGACAATTGATAATAACATGTATTTTTTGGTTTTCTACATTTTCAGGACCAACACCTCCACACGCACATGTATCAAAAATCACTGCATCATTGACATTAAAAATTATATATATATTCTCTTGAAAGACAGAGACTTACTTTTCCATGACATCCTTGTTCTTCACGAGCAAAATGTTCTTCGCTTGGATCTGATCAATCAAAGTACTTGCAATGTTTGTATTGTTGACAGACCATGAAGGGTTGCTAGGGAAACCAGCTCGCTGGTTGAACATGGTGCCTGGTGTTGCAGCTTGAGGATGAAGAGGACGAGAATTGTAGATACAGTATTGCTCATAGTTAGTTACTGTTTCTTCATTTCGATTGCCGAGGTAAAAATTATGTGGATTTTGGCGATGCGTTGAGTCACCATGTACAGCTGAGTCTAAACAACCAGAGGACAACACAATTTGGTAATAAAAAAGACTTGAACAGAAAACTTGTTGACATACAGTTTTTGAATTAATTTAAATGAAAATGTTACAATTAAAGCGCAATTTTAAGCTAACAACTTATCAATTCATTTTTTCACAAAACATAGCAATTTTATGAAAACAAAACGTTAACTTTCAATTTTACCTAGATTCGCTAAAAGAGAGCGTTTAACTGCTATTTCATTCAACGATAATCAAAATATAATAAATGTTTGTTACATGATTACCAGCTCACGAAAAATAATTAATTTATATAAACGTAAACATTTAGTATAATAAGCATGACGTCCGATTGTCGGATGACCAGATTTTAAATCACTTGAGTTATAACATGAATGTTTCATTTAATTTGAGTTATTACACTAGCCAAAGAAAGAGATGAATAATCCTTACACATGTTAGACATCGTTCCATAGACTTTTTTCCGATCCTTTTCGACGTATCTTCCAATCTTATTGACATAAATAACTGTCGCTCTTATTCATTACCAAAGATGAATTGTAAACTAGATAATAAATTATAAATTGCGATTTGTTTTCGGGATAGCTCGTGATTGGTTCGTTTTGCCGGGAGTCTCCGACGCGCCATTTTCAAAATAGAGATCTTCAATATCTTAAATATAAATATCAAAATATGTATTTGTTTTCTTTATTAACTCAATGTTTTTTGTAGAAATATGGTAGAAATTTGCGTTGTGAGATGTTTTTCCTGTGAGACATTCCAAGGACAACAGGTACGTTGCTCAAATGAGCCATTTTAGCTGTCTTGGTCAATGGATATATTATGGAATGAGCGCTTTTAGCCTCTTGCTAAATCTTGACTTGTTAGAAAGCTCAAAACCAGTTCGCTTTTTTTATTTAACTGTTAAAATAGCACAGTTCTATTTCTAAAACTGTTCAAGAATCAACAGAAAAACATACTAGTACAATCATTCAAATAATCAACATTTCCACTCAGTCACTCTTGTGAACTCATCTACTGTCAAAAGTACATATTTCGTTTTTGTACAAGGTCAAAAAAGGAAAGAAATGGACATGTAAAGTTTGTGGTGAAAAGCAATCTTTCAAAAAAATCTTTGCTCAAGGAAATGGTAAAGAATGCAGACATGTTGTGCAGAAATTGAATATGATGAAAGGAAGTTTGGAGCAAGAAGCACTTGAAGAAGAATATGTAGAAAATAGTGGGGAAGTTTTATGTTTTGAGGAAGAAGCCACCAATGAATTCTTTGTCAGAAGGAAAGAAAGTAAATGGGAAAAATTTATTGGAGAGAAGAAGGCATCAATAAACACTAGTATGCTAATTTTGTTTGTTGTATAAATTGTCTTTCATGCAATAGTTCTTCGTGTAGAGGTGGAATGATGTTGAATGGCTTATTTCTAAATATATTTTAATTTGAAATACATCATAGTACTGTTATTTTACTTATTAGAGTTTCAAATTTCTATTTGTGAACTACATATGCACCTTAAGACTACCCCACCCCCCTCAGTCAAATTTAAAGAAACATCATAGGCCTTAGTGGTTTCAATTTTAAATTTTTACAGATATTGTTGAAGTGGAAGATGGAAATTTTGACGACAATGATCATTCTTTCACAACTGAACGGATGTTTTTGATAAATGCAATAGTAATCAAATAAAAGAAAAGAAAAGTTGAGAGCTAATGTGAATGAAAGGAAGAAAATTTCTCATTCAAATGATGACAACAACTTGGGAGGAGGGCTGAATGCAAAATGAATATTTTTATCTGGAAATTCTCGACAAAATGCTCTGAATTGTGTGAAAACGACAGTGGAAACACCACGTGAAAAAGTTCCCAAAGTTAATGTTTGTCAAAACAAATTTTCCAAGTGGTCAAAATATACATGAATTAAAATGAAATTAATATAAGCACGAAACGCTTCGGTGTATTTATCGGACTTATAAATTGGTTATTTTTCATCGAAATATTATTTTTAAAAAGTTTTGCAAAGTAAAAGTGGAACGCAAAGCAAACAAAACTGTTTGTGTGACGTCATACTCTCGTTTCTCTCGTGTTGGAGTAGGAGTCTGGGAACGACCAGGAATTTCAAGATGGCGAGTTTCACCGGCTTGAAAACTGTACAGAAAGCTGGATTAATTTCGGTAAAGATGGATTGTATTGATTGATTTGTGTATTATTTGGTAGTTAACGTTTTACATAAATTCGTGGTCTTTTGTTTGCTAACTTTTATACTTGCTTTCGTCGGAATTTCGTTCAATTTATCGCGTTGTTTATGAATTTATATTGAATTCACTGATTTGTCCTTTATAATTTTTAGCTGCGCTTATTCAGCACTAATGTGGCTAAAACATCACAAGTAAAGGTATGGAAGGATTCAATGCTCCGTTTTTGTGTTTTATATGCTTCATTGTCGATCTATACGCTTTATATACGCGACATTACAGACAGTACATTTATGATTTACACTTATTTAACTTAGAATTGTGACCATGGATATACCGGGCGGAAAGCAAACTTTAAATATAAATATCAAAGCCCAGCAAAGTGCTTTTAAAATAGCCATTTAATGCATAATAAAGAAATATTTATTTAAAAGTGTAACGTTTCGTCTTGACTCTCAAGACATCATCAGACAATATTGAATTAAGTGTATAGAGGGTTTGTGTGATGATGTCTTGAGAGTCAAGACGAAACGTTACACTAAATAAATATTTCATTTTATGCATTAAATGGCTCTTTAAAAACTTACTGGCTTTGATATTTAACTTAGTTGATTTTACAAATGACAAGTTATTACATCAAACACTGCGACAACAGTTAGAGCATGGTGCTTCTCCTTTAAAGATTATGCAATCAGTCTTTCTTATGACATGTTGTGTTTGAAAATTGAAAGTGTATCTTATGTCAGTATAAAATATTATTTTTGATAAATAGGCTCCAGTGAAGGTATTTGGTATTGAAGGACGTTATGCGCATGCGTTGTACTCTGCTGCTTCAAAGAGCAAACAATTGGAGAAAGTTGAAGGAGAACTTGTTAAGATTGAGGTACATATATTTTGCTTTGATTTCTATTTTGATGTTTTTATGTGAAGGTTGTGTTAAAGTTGTTGTGTGGTTGGTCGGTTGTGAAGCTCAGATTTTTTTACAAAATATTTTATTCATGTAAATTCCTGTTTTTGAAATTCAAAATCAATTGCAAAAGCAATGTACATAGTATTGTGGCTCATATTTGTTTTAGGGTTTACTTAAGACTGATCCCAAACTTTCTGCCTTTTTGAAAGATCCTACATTGAATAAAATCAAAAAGCAAAGTAAGTGAAAAAATGGCCAACCACCTTTTCCTCCATAACCCCCCAACCTCAAACTTTCCCTCACTTACCCCCAACCTCACCCTTCACCACTCCCTTCAGACCCACCATGCTCACCCTTCTCCCACCTTTTTTCTTGTCCAAAATGTGTGTTGTAATGATGTTGTTTTGTTTTAGGTGCGCTTCAGGATGCCTTCAAGAAATTGAAGTTCTCCGATCTTACTATCAATCTTTTTGGTTTGTATTGAATATATGTTCCTAATGTGTTCAAAAATATTAACCTTGTATTTGATGCTGCAATGTATTTTTTCATTCTCTTCAATTTCATAGATTTTGTCATTTATCATTAACATGTGTGATGCAGTCATCAATTGCAATTTAACCTTCAGATTATATATTCATACATGTTGAACTATTTGAGCACACTGGAGAGCCATTTTACTGAATTAACATAATGTACACTGAAATTTTTCTCTTTCTTAAAATATCCTCTCAAACATAAGCAACAGAGCTCTCAGGGTGTGAAATTTGAATTTAAAGTATACACATGGATGAATATCAGTGTTTTAGAATTTGGTATCTCTTCTGATGATTTACTATCCCAATTGTCCCTTCTGATAATCAAGCATCCCAATTATCCCTTCCGATAATCTAGTATCCCAATTATCCCTTCCGATAATCTAGTATACCAACTATCCCTTCCGATAATCTAGTGTACTAACTATCCCTTCCAATAATCTAGTATACCAACTATCCCTTCCGATAATCTAGTATCCCAATTATCCCTTCCGATAATCTTGTATACCAACTATCCCTTCCAATAATCTAGTATTGCAAGTATGGATACATAACAAGTTGGTTTTTCTTAGTTCAAAGTCAGATACAACATAATCTATGTTTGGTCTTTCGTCAGATTATTATTATCATAGAAGTTCCTTTCAGAATCTGCAAAGGAATTTCCACTCAGAAATTTATTTTTTACTGAAATGTTGTTTAATTATTACAGTTTAATTCTGTATCTGCTTATCATGGATACCTACCTACTGGACATGTGTTACAGCACTAACACATGATGAATCAAAATACGAGACCAGTAAAAACGTTAATTCCTGTCCCGTTATCGAAAATTGGGGTATCGGAGCATTGGGATACAAGCAGTGACGTAGCCAGCCCGCAAGCGTAGCCAGCCTGCAAGCGTAGCCAGCCCGCAAGTTTTGGCTGCGCTATGTAAATTTTAGATCATTGACATTGTTCATTTCTTTAAAGATCTGTTGTTTTACAGTGAGTGAAGACAGAAAAATTAACATAGTAGGACCAAATTTGCGGCTGGCTACCTCACGGGATACAAGTAAATTAAACTCTTGTGGATATCAGGATATGTTCATGCAAATTTCATACCCTGCCGCCCACTTGTTTACTATTTATTCTCAAGGGTATAAAAGCATTGTTAAAGTCTTGTGTTGTATTGTAAGACTTGAGTTTTATTCACCAGGTGCCTTGGCAGAGAATAACAGACTTTCATTGTCGAGCAATGTCCTCAAAGCTTACATGCAAATTATGTCTGCTCATCGCAAGGAGGTTCCTTGTGTGGTGACCACAGCTAAACCATTGGATGCTTCAAACATGAGAGAATTGCAGCAGTCCTTGAAGAGTTTTGTTAAACCAGATGAAACTCTTAAAATTGAGACAAAGGTTTGTGTATTACGTCAGTTTAGGATGTTGTGTTTTCATGTGTGTACAATTATTGCTTAAAGAACTGTAGAAAAAGGAAGAATATGAAATATTATATGGAAGAATATATTAGTTGAAATTGTTCAGGGAAGAGTAAAATTTACGTTTCTGCCAAAAAGATGTGAATACAACCTACCTTTCTGCTCTTACAACCTACCTTTCTGCCAATGACAAATGACAAATAGCTCCAATGACAAATAATTTGTACCTCTACATTCATTTCATGTATGCGTTCATGTACACATGACCAGAAATTTTTCTTCAATAAACACAACACTGTTTAGATATCACCTACAAAGTTTATCATATTTGACTTGTATTTGCTTATCGTACTTGTTTTGCCGGCTGTAGACATTACCTATACTCTGTGCTTTTGAGCGTATATTTCGAGGAAAGATGACGTCATACATGCAATCTTGACCAAACCCCCCCTCCCCCGCATGCTTCGTATGTATTAACGTCTTTTTGAAAGAAATGTGTGTTTCACTCATCCGTTACGACTAATGTATTATTTTCCGCCGACTGAGGAACAAAAAAGGCGGAAAATGTTTCACACACCCTAGGGAGCCGATTGTGAATCGGTGATGGCGGGTAGTGTAGGTTATATTTAGCACAATTTGTTGTTGCATCCGCACAGCTTGACTAGAGTACCACCCGTCCACCCGGGTGGAACAATATAGAAATATGTATATTGGTAACTAAGACTGTTCAGTTTTAGGCTGCAACTCTTAGGAGCAGGGACTCTTAGCCGATGTAATGATATCTGTATTAGCTGTTTTTTTATGAATGTAATAAATGTCAAGCTTGCTGCGGATTGGCTGCAAAAACTCCCGGATATGCGTGAGAAGATAATATTTCCTCAAAACTCTCACTAAATTCTGTCATTTTTACGAGCAATCCTGATGATTTTATTTTGCACTGCTAGATCGATCCGGCAATTATTGGTGGTATGATCGTTAACATAGCAGATAAGTACGTAGATATGTCTATATCGACAAAGATAAAGAAAATAACAACGGCCATGGAGGCTTCACTGAATTGAGGAAAGTACATTTGGATTTAATGCATTTTGGAAAAACCATTGCCTTCATAAAAAGACTTGTGTAAAAGTCTGTATGTTACCTCCGAGAGAATATTATTTCAATACATTCTATGTTTGTTGAAGGAGGTGTTGATTATTCTGCTTTGTTGACTGATCTTGTGATTCTATTTTCATCATAAAGCCTGTTTCAAACGTCTCATCTTACATTCGCCGAATGCATTTAAAACAAAAGAAAATGAGATTCTTTTTTATGTATTGTTTTGAATGCATTCGGCTCATGTAAAATGCGACGTTTGAAACAGGCCTAGATATCATCATTCTAAAATAATGCTACAAAATGTCGTTTGAAACAGGCCTACATATCATCATTCTAAAATAATACTACAAAATGTCGTTTGAAAGAGGCCTAGATATCATCATTCTAAACTAATGCTACAAAATGACGTTTTAAACAGGCCTAGATATCATCATTCTAAAATACTACAAAATGTCGTTTGAAACAGGCCTAGATATCATCATTCTAAACTAATGCTACAAAATGACGTTTGAAACAGGCCTAGATATCATCATTCTAAAATAATACTACAAAATGACGTTTGAAACAGGCCTAGATATCATTCTAAAATAATGCTACAAAATGCAAAATGGAAAGTTTTCAAAGAACACTAACCATAACACATAACCTGTCATCACCCATTATTTGAATATTCTCTTATTACATTTTGAGATTAAAGATCTTAAAGGGTAACAATGGCACGACAGCAAGTCTATCAGTCAAGTATTGAGTAAATTTATAACATTTAAAAATGGGGTAACAACATTTGAAAGGACAAAAAAAAAGGATAAAAATCACTTTGGACCATCTAACTATTTGTTTTCTCACGCAAAAGGATTTCGAAGAGGCCAAAATCATTTTTTTAAGGCCAACTGGCGAGTCTGTTAAAAATGTTTATTTGAGACTTTAAAAATTTATATGAGGTATTTTTACATAATTTTTTAAATAAATTATGACGCAGACGGTCATCGCAGTCTCAAATATTCTACCCCCCCTGACTTCGACTAGTAAACGATTGGTAATTCTCTTTCAAGAGAGTTTCATGTCCGTTCATTAAAATCGACGCTGTGGTAAGAACTGGTTAGCGGGAGAACTGTATAGTCCTAGTGGACGTTGATTGTTGCTAGTTCTATTGTTTTGTTGATTATTGTGGGATTGCTGGTGAGGATTGTGATTATTTGATGTCTGATAAGTAAACGACGCGTGTCCCTTTTGTCCATGATTACCCCCAGATGTACGCATTCTCTTGTTGGCTGGATGATCTTGATTGCCTTGTTTACTACCAGCCTAAGTAAAACGTAAAATCATGTAGCAAATGGCAAAATGTGTTAACTTTTAAAACCTAAATCTTGACTTTTAAAACCTAAATCTTGACTTTTAAAACCTAAATCTTGATTTTTAAAACCTAAATCTTAAGTTCTAAAACTTATCTATTTATTTGATTTTACTGTTAATCAGCCTGGCAGTCATAAAAAGATGCGTCTATTAAAATGATCCATAGAATACATAAGACAAAACAGACATGTTATAAGGATAACGTAGTCTAAATATAACGGCGTAAGTCCTGACAGTTTATGACAAGTTTTACTACATGAGCAAACGGATTTCCAAGTTTGCGGATCATCCACATCGTAAAACGTAAAGCAAAAGTTGTTCTACGTACTTGAATACAGCTTTGATTTCTACAGCTTTTCAAGATACAAGAAAATTCCTAACGGTACAGGGCATGTATGTCCTACGAAAGCTTTATAGTTTAACGACTTACCTTGTTTGATTTTGTTTCATCTTCTTCGTTTATAAATTCTCGCACGGGATACGGTATTGGATCTGGTCCAAATGCACTGAAAGGTAGAAATGATTACGTAGTTCACCACGTGATCAGAGAATAACACGTACATTGTCCATTATATTCAACGCTTTAGTGCAATATACCATCCATCTTTTTTCAGTAAATAAAAGGACATACTCTGAAAGTGGTAATGGTTCTTCCCTAAAGTAACCATCTTGTAAAGCTTGCTCGGCCGTCATTCGTTTATTCGGATCCATCACAAGTAGACGACTGAGCTATTACAAAAAAGAACATGTTTCAATGCTAGAGCCATTCCCCCATAGCTTTATCGCGACGCGCTAATTCTAAAGAGGAATCTTTTAAGTAGTGATGGGCGATACCGCTAGCATCGATACGATACGATACCGATTACTTTTTTTAAAAAGTATCGAGGTATCGATTACTAAAGCAATTACTTTCTCCAATTTCGAAAATAAACGTCTGAGTCACTTGATAAAGATCTGATAATGGATTTGCTAAAGTGTGGCCTTATATACTTCAACAATACGACGAAATCTTTATTTTTCTTGTCTTAAATTACAAACTGTCTTAACATTATTAAGCGTAACGATAAATTTTCAGAAGCTGTATAAATTCGAATTGAAAAAATTGGTTACATGTTATTACTCTGAAGGCGAGATCTCGAAGTGTATTGATTAGTAAAACTGAATAAAATATTAAAATAATAAAACAGAGAAAAAACAACATGTTTGTCAAAACCAATAATGAAAAGGAAGACAAACTTACATAATAATGAAATTTTAAAAGTAATCGAAGTCCTTTTCGATACGACGTAGTATCAACTACTTCAGGATTAGGCTTGGTATCGATACCAAGTAATCGATAATCGCCCATCACTTGTAAGATATAATGAGGAATTTCATCGCATTGTTTTTAAATGCATTCGGCTGATGTAAAGTTTGACGTTTGAAACATTCCAAAAGACATGTATATATGAATGGAAAAAGAGAAAAATTGATAGCAATGTAAAAACGGTTTTTAAACATATGTAATCATCGGTGAAGTAATGTGTCAAACGATAGCAAAGATGTCTTCAGTCATGAGCGTATTAAACGTGATTTGTGATTTCCAATCACACATCAGAAATCTTTTTAAGGCCTTTTCTAGAAGGTTGACACTCATACGATTTAACGAATATATTCCAGATTTATTTTCACCAATTGACAAATATTCTAGAAAGTGAAGCTTACCAACTGAAATGCTTTACTTTCTTGATGTACTTTGTATTTCTCCATGTAAGATGAAAGCTGAGATGTACTGTAACTACACAAGCACAATACGACTTGTGACAATGATGGCAGCTTTACAATTTACCATCGAGAGAGTGAAGGTTTACCTGTTTTTCTTGAAATCTTTCATTAACGTTGGATGTTCTGGCATTCGCTTTATATCTTCCCAATCTCTCTCTAAAAGTGAACGAATATCCTTCAATGTCATATTTGCCGTTTATCTATCACCTAGAGACCCAATGTATTATGGATGCTCTGGTGAAATCCTTGTGCAGGATCTTGTATGATCATACAAGATCCTACCAGCATCCTATAAGACCTCTACGATCCAGTTAGGATCCTAAACAGGATTCTAAGTACATAGAATTTTTAACCAGGTGTGCAAGCCAGCTTGTGGGGTACAAGTTAAATTTTATATGAACTTATATTGCATTATCATCTCTTACCTTGTGGAAAACCCATCACTTGAAATATTCTATCCAACTGTTCTTTATGGTAGGGGTTGCTTGTCTTTATGTCCTCTTGTCGACAATGAAAAATTGGCTCCGATGTCAAAAGCTCAGCAAAAATACAACCTATTGCCCATATATCTATGCAATCAAATGACAAAATGGAATCAATAATATTTCAAACAGTTTAATATCCAAAATTCTTATCATTTAACAATTTATATAGGTTGCAAGGATAACATGTAATCCCTCTATATACCTCTACACACCTATACATACCTCTACATATGCATATATACCTCTACATATGTATATATACCTCTACATACCTATACATACCTACACTACATACACACCAACACAATACAAACCTATACATGCCTATACACACCTATACATACCTATACATATCTATACATACCTAAACATACCTACACTACATACATACCAACACAATACAAACCTATACATACCTATACACACCTATACACACCTATACATACCTATACATACCTACACCACATACATACCAATACAACAATATAAACCTACACATACCTATTGCCTTGGTATAATGTCGTGCTCCGAGCAACAATTCGGGTGATCGATACCAAAAGGTGACGACGACTGGATCAAGATCAGCCAAAGGTTTTAGAGGATTGTTGAACAAACGAGCAAAACCCATATCAGCTAGACAAGACATCACATTAAATGTGAGAAATGAAAACTACAGAGAAGTTGCAATGAACTGTTTTACCAATCTTTACTGTCCCTCTTTCAGGGCCTTCACCCATAACAAGTATATTAGCTGGCTTCTATAAACACAAATGATATGCAACCCTTAACAGCAAGTTCTCCCAACCATGATGTCTTCAAAACATCCATGTCATAACATACCAAATCTCGGTGAAGGATCCAATTTGAATGAAGATAATGTATTCCGTCAAGTATTTGATACAGTAAAGATTTGATCGTTGCTTTGGCAACAGGACACGGTTTCTTTTGTGCCTTGTAACTGCGATGATACTTAATGATATGCTGAAAAAATTTAACCAAATCAAGCAACATGATTGGCTGGTTTGGCTAATCCAATGAGAATGTATTGTACCCATAAGTCATGTTCAGCATAGTCAAAAAGAAGCCAAACTTTACGATCACTGTGCGATAAAAAGACTCTTTGCAAGGATATGACATTTGGATGGTGGAGTTCACGTAATAACTGCAAGAGTGTAAAAGAAATTTTGAAATGCACATATGTTGTTCTTGTATGCATGATTTATAAAGGTGGTGCTGAATCCCAGGCACAAAATCATGGCAAAAAATTAGATATAGGAAATGATTTGATGATTAGTTTCATAAAGATTAGTTTCAGCCCTTTAAACTCTTGGCCGGGGGGTTTAGTATACTCAACTCATAAAGATTTAAAAGACAAAATCAATAACTAGTAATCAATAACATATTTCGTAATTTTTATAGTTCTGCTACAACATGGAACATACAGCAATTTCACGGCACGCTGACATCGAAATCCCTGTTCCTTCGATCAACTTCAAGGCGTATTCTTTTTCCGAGCTAAATGATTCAAAGACAAATCTCTCATTTATAAAACATCAGTCACAGACCAGTGTAAATCTTCTAACATTCGAATAAAAAGCATCAATATTTACAGCAATAGCAATAGAATGAAGAAAAAATGAAGGAATGGGGAGAATAGCCAAAGTCTTTAACTTACCTCGCTTTTTCGCCTTGTTTTGTTTTAATTTTGGCCTTGTAAACATGACCGTATGTCCCGCGACCAATTTTACAGCCTTCGTAATCAAACATGTCTTCAACCTTGTCGCGTTCTTCGCTCATCTGACGCTTGTATTCGTAATCCATTTCGGTAAGTGTTTTCTTTTATGAATTTAGTGTCCACCATTGATAATTGTACATTTCTAAACATAAACATTTCACGAGTAACCTTTGCCAGGGGGGTGGAAAGACTAAAGAGCTCTCTTCCCTTGCGGTGATTATGAAAAGAAAAAATGCAAAATTCATTCAATTCTTCAACAGTTTTACAACATTGCCACTACAGAATACATTTTTCACCCACATTGTATTAGGACAGACAAAAATCCTATATACTTTTTTTATAGAGATATTATAACGTTGGCGCGATCCATAGACAGACCATAGTCGGCAAGATTCCATCAGTTTGAAGGATGTAATCAAGTTTGTGATGTCGCATCGAAAAATATTGGCTGGCGGTGTAGAAAGGGCGGAATTATTTGTTTCGAAGCTACTCTTACCGAGAGGCAGTTTTATATTTAGACGGTGCTTTGGTAATTACCTTCCTATACATCACGTGTGAGTGCTATTTTTTACTTTCTGACCCAAGACTTCTTGCTTGCAGTAAAATTTTCGCAATTTATTGATGAACGACTTTATGTTGCAGGTTATTTGTTATGGTGGTCAGGCAGTGTCGTGGGTGTTATTAAATTGATTTAAAATGGGTCAAGGTAGCTCGGGGATGGTTGTTGGAAAACCCGAGCGAAGCACTGACTCAAGTTTGGAATTCCAACCTGGACACAAGAACTTTGCATCATCAGAAATGAACAAGCGATTGAGATGTATGTCTTAAATAATATTTTTGATGATTGTTATTGCTACGTAGATTTCATTTTGAAGAAAATGGCATTCGCTATGGTTATACGTTGATTCAGTACAGTACAAAGTTCTTGACAAGTCTTAATAATATCTGATTTTAATACTTTACTTAGCCAACACAGATTCGCAAATGGATTACCAATCATCTGATGACAAAGAGGAAGATATACCAAAATGTACTTCTGATTCAAGTATTTTACCACGTACTGTGCCCACAATGTTCAAGTGGGAGAATGGGGGAAATATTGTTTATCTTTCTGGGAGCTTTAATGAATGGAATTCAAGAATTCCTCTTCATGGAAGGTAGGATTGTTATCTTTATTTAAAGCATTTTTGGCAATTTAAATGTCTTAATTTTTGGTTGTTCTTGATTTCAGTAATGGGGAGTTTTTCACCATCATTGAACTACATGAAGGTGACCATGAGTATAAATTTTTTGTTGATGGCCACTGGGTTCATGATCCTAATGCGGTAAGGATTGCACACTGTTGATTTTTGTAGTCTGAAAACATTATAATTTTAAATCAGGCTGAAATATTTCAAGTTTTAATGTACAATCACTTGTGATGAAAATATTAGACTAGTGTATATAAAAAATCAAGTTTCAACGTCACTTGCATCGAGCAAGTCGTTCTTGATGAAAATACTTGGCTAGAATCAGCTGTACAAACCTTGAATGATTAAGTAAATTGACCTTGTGCTACTTTATGTTTTACAAACTTTACTTACTTTTAGCTTCACCAGTTTCATATACCATAAATTGATAAAAATCAAATGAACACTTTCCAATAAAAGGACTGCTACAAATCATGCAGTGTGTATAAGGATAACTATGTAAAACCATCAAGTTCATTTCCCGTTTACCACATTTCAGCCTACGACAAATGATAATTTTGGCGGTCGTAACAACATCTCAGTAAAGAAATCAGATTTCGAAAAGATGGAAGCGTTAGACGACGATGACCGACAATCTGGCTCAGGTATCACTGTCTCATCCCCCCCAGGGTCATATGCTCAGTTAATACCCTCGCACCATAACCCAGTTGTCATTCAAGACGGTATGCATGCAAGTGTGCCCCCCACATTGCCTCCTCATCTCCTTAATGTGATTCTAAATAAGGACGCCATTGATGTTAATGAACCATCTATTCTTCAAGAACCTCACCATGTCTCTTTAAATCATCTCTATGCACTCTCCATTAAGGTGAGTTATAATTTGTACTTGTGATTTCCAAGTGATTCTAGCCGTGTTTAACTCCACTAGCCGTGTTTCGCAAGAACTCGTTTTGTCCATCAAAATTGGACAGTAGTGAGCTGTTGGCAGAAATTAAGTCGTGATGAAGGTTATTACATTACCCAAGTTAAGAATGATGGCCAATCATATATTTTAACACTTACAGATGTTTTTCTATTATGCAACCCTAGACAAAAGTTTTGATTTATTGTACGATAGTATGTTGTAGTATGTAATTGTTATGATCAGGGGCAGACCGAACCCTGCATGACTCGCCGGTAAAACTCACGAAGGGCGCTGTTTGCAGGCTTAGCTGCTTGTAGAGGGGAGGAGGGGGGTTTTAAAAGTACACGTGCTGTTGACAGCCACGAAGTTACAGTTTAAAAACGCAAACTAGATGACTTATGAAACGACAAATAAGATTCTGCACATTCCGATTTTTTGCGAACTGCGACATGTTTTAAGCGCTAACCTAGTCCAAATCACTAGCTTACAACTAATGCTTTGGAATAAGATACCACACGTTTTTCACACGTTTTCGACAAATTTTTAACACGTTTTTGACACGTAGCATTTTTCACACGTTTTTCACAGTAATGTTTTTTATCGTAAGACCATCGCTACTGGTCAACATTTGTCTTCAAAAGTTAAAAAATACCCGCTACTGATACACCATACACTTTTGAGTTATGGCAACTTCAACTCGTCTAGTCGCTTGTTCTTAAAATAATATGGCTCGCTGCCTTTAACGAACACAAAACAAGGCTAAGATAAGCGTAAAGGCGTAAAGAATTAAGATAATGTAAGTAAGGGGTACACTGGGGAATTTCCCTGTGTACTTATAGGCCTGTCCGTCTCTGATGATGATACGTTATCATGGAGTGGCTTGCTTCTAAATAAATATTATGTATTATAAAATAAACACAATAAAACGCGTGCGGTGATTGGTCTAGAGGCGTGTTTGCCTTAGCCTGTGCGAAACATATCTGAGCTCAACCAATCAAAACAATTAATCAGTCAAAGAGAATTTGCAAATCGATCACAAATACATTTTAGAGCAAAAATTATAGTATTTGTCTTTTTCACATTATTGTTATTTTATAAAAGAAATAAAAGATTTTTTCGTGTTTACACTGGCTTATGCAAACCTCTGAGACGTTTGTGAGAACTCTCGAGCATGAGCAACTCTCGACCTTTGGTCTCAGGCTTGCACTGATCTGTTCTCGAGTTCTCCTAAAAGTCTCATTGGTTTGCATAAACCCGTGCAAACACAGTAAACATCTTTTATTTCCTAAAAATAGTTTTATTTCAGTGACCTGCTTAAAGGGTCAAAATAGACCCGTGTGTTCAAATACCATCATTATCGGTTATGAAAAAACAAAGATCTTTAAAGGTTGGAAGTGCAAATTAACACTTTGAATCGAGATTGAGGTGGACACTGGATAAGCCAATCTTGTATTAAACATCCATTAATCCAATCTTCGAACACAATCCAACTCACCTCCATACTTTGACAAATATTAAGCATAATTATTAAATGTTTTGTATTTTAGGAAGGGGTTACTGTTCTTAGCACTACTCAAAGATATCGGGAGAAGTATGTGACGACATTACTCTACAGGCCTATTCATCCTTAAAATATGAAATAATGTCAATTGTATTTAACGCAAAAAGTAATACACAAATATCTGTATCTATACTTAAAGTTGACCATTAACTTTTCTTTTAAACTGCACATTAGTGGCTGATTACATGAGCCCGCGGTAACCGGGATTCAGCGAAGCGTTAAATAATTTTTGCAAATGGAAAAGATTAAATACTTCACAGCAAAAAATGTTTGAGCAATTTCTCTATGCTCTGACTTTGTAAGTTTGCAAAACCTTTATAATGAAAGCAAATAATTTAGCCTGATTTGAAAATTACATCTAAAATGAATTATGGCGCTTGAGAAAAGGTTGTAATTTTTACGCTTGAAGTTTTGACTCCTTTCAACGACGCAAAATCATTTCACGCCTCGCTAAATCCTGGTTAGCCGGGCTCATGTGAACAGTCTCTTAATTTATAATAATTTTGAAAAGTTTTTTTTTGTTTTTATATACTTTTAAATGTTCTCATTGTTTTGATTATTTATTTTGTGTCTGCTGTTTACGTTTCCTTAACGTGAGAGCAACAATATCTCTTCGGAAAATGCAGAATTTCGTAGCAATTGGTTCGCCGTATGTTAGCCCGTCCGTGTATGGCAGCTGGGATGAATGAACGTCTTACTTCGGAACGAATTGTTGCCCTTGTCTATTTCATAAGCTAAGGATAAGTTCAAACGTCGAACTTAACATGAACCGAACGCATTTAAAACAAAAGATAATGAGGAAGTTCATCTCAGGTTCGTAGTTTTATAAATCTACTTAAAGCGCTTATGACACGAAAATTTTTATGTTTGCAATGACCAGAACTTTTGAAATGACAGTGTACTTTTTGAAACAGTTCGTGCATATCTCTTTTCCTTCTCGAGATATTGAAGATTTTGTGTTTTTCATTTTATCTAACTTGTGACGCCATATTGCATAATGAGTTTCCACAATGTTTTAAATACTCTTCAGTTTCCTGACAACTTTAAGTTGATACTAATAGGCAGCATTTTATACCATTAACCACGTCACAACAAAGGGAACTCTGTCCTTGTGAAGTAAAGTAGCATTAAATATACCTAATACTCCTAGTTCTCATTACGCAATTTGACGTCACGAGTTAGATAAATCGGACTAAACAAAATCCTCGATATCTCAAGAATTAAAAGTGATATGCATAAACTGTTTTAGAATGTCCATTGTCATTTCAAAAGTTATGGTCATTGCAAACATAAGAATTTTCATGTCATCGGCACTTTAAGCATTTTTTCTTGATAGTGCATGGCTTCAATTTAGAATATGACAATGGTTAGTAACTATTACAGCTTATGAAGAATGTTTTATGCAGTGCAGTGTTTGAAATTAAATGAAGATATGATCTTCGCACTTTGCTGGACAATTTAAGCAATTGTCTCATGAACCTGAAAAATTCACCTGAATTTTTGTAATATCTTCATTTATTTCAGCTTAAGTCGTTGTAAAAACTTTGAAGTCTAGTACTCAAATATTTATACAAAATAATTGATACGACAAACAGTCCATGAAAGAGTTTCGTGGTTGAAGACAGTATCCTTGGATGCTGTAGTTTATTTTGAGAAGGACTCTTGTAAAGAAAAAGACAAATTTCGAAAGCAAAAAACATCCGGTTTTCGGTCCATTCCTCCCACCCTAGGCAGTATCACTGTGATATAATTATGATTATAATTGTTCTAGCAATATAATGCATTCATATAATTTTATTAAATATACTTGTATTGTTATGTACTAGAAATTGCTGTCGCAAGGGGAGTGTTGCCCTGACCCCTTGTCTGGAAAAATTGCACGGTTCAGACCGTAGTCACAGCCATTGGAACCACCTCCGTGTACAGCATTGTAGGTGATTTCATACATACGTTATGATTGGGTGATTAGAATGATAGACAGAGAAATTTTACATGCGTGTGTCTTTAACTTTTAGCTTTCTATAATTGTTATACCAGATCACAGAATAGACATCTAACAGAAGGCCCACTTGGCTAAAATCGTGGCGTATTTTTTCACCACGCATGCGTGACTTCCCAGCAAGATACTTTCACAAAATCAATATGGAATAGTTTTGTACGAGAATGTTATTTTACTAATAATTCACGTTTAAAGCTAAAGTGTGCCGAAATTTTTATAAAATGTTATCATCTTGCAGAGAATATAAAGTTCCAAGCTTTTGGAGTGCAAAACAATATATTTGTAAAAACATCTATATTTTCTATTGCAATTTGGCGGAAGTACCTTGCTGGAAGGCGTGTCTGTTTAGAAATTGCTTCGGAAAGTGGGAGACACGAACATCAAAAGTTCCGACACAAGTGGACCCTCTGTTAAGATAACTATTCTGTGACCAGATGCCAGATGCTGGCCAGATTTGATAGTTAGACAATGGCGTCAAAATGATTTATATTTCAGATAATTCCGAAAGTTTTTGCAGATTTGTGTGTTTTTGCTGCCTTCTCATTTTACGGTAACACAAAGCTTTTGATCTTCGAGGGGGTTGGCCTCTAAATGGAGTCAATGATTTGTTGAACCTCATCAACTTATACAGCTGTTCACTTCATGGATCCTGTTTTCTATATTCATCCTTACCAGCTTACTGGCTGGCTGCCACTATGGTAATTACATGCGTAATAAGATATGTGTGACACTTAATACTTCAATAGAGTTGTGCGTTCTGTACAGTTTTTACAGCCTCTTGATTCTAGATGTTCGTTTAGTGTATCGTTCCAGCAACGTGCAGACTGCTTTAACTCATAAAGACTTTTCTTTAATTTGCATAAATAATCTGGTTTTTCTGCTTTACAAAACCTTCGGGTTGTTTTATGTAAATATCGTAGTCAATGCTTCCGTTCAAAAAGGCTGTTTTGACGTCCATTTGATGAATTTCTAAGTTGTACGAGTTTTCCAGTGCTATTTATGTTCTTATAGAGGTGAGTCTTGCAACAGGGGAAAATACTTCGTTATAATCGGCGCCTTTTGTTTGCGAGTATCCCAGAGCGACCAATCTTGCCTTATAACGATCGATTGACCCATCTTCCTTTCGCTTTACTTTCAAAATCCATCGAGAAACAACAACATTCGTTTTTTCTTCAGGAGGGACCAATTCCCAGGTTTGATTGTCCATCAACGATGAATATTCTGACATCATTGCTTTCTTCCATTACTTTGCATGCTTACCATTCAAAGCTTCTTGTACACTCAAAGGATCGTCGCTTTCTGTTGTTAATGATTCCATTATTGTACACGTATAATAATCGAATCTGACAGGAGCTTTTCGTTGTCTTCTTTGACAAAGTTTCGTACATCGTTCATAAATCTGTCTTCATAGCTAATTACATTTGGAGGATCTTCTCCCGCTCCCACTGGTATATTGTTCTCGGATTATTATTTGTCATATGTAATGCACAAACAAATCTCATGTCATTCAACAAGTGGCCATCGTCAGGTGAAGTTTGACAAAAAATCCACCCTTCCCTCCCTCCCTTCCTCTTGGTCGATTTTGCATGTACTATTTTAGATTTGTTTCCGTGGTGGCGTTTTTATCACCCCATTTTATTTGTGCTATACAGAAAAACTTTATTCGTGATGATTTTAGTTTAAATTGTGTAAAATAATTACTTTGAATTATTTTGTATTTGTTATTTCTATTTTATTAAATCGGCATGTGCTTTCACACATTGCTCCAAAGAGAGTACACTTTAATGTCATGCGCACAGAAAACAGAGCTCATCAGCTTCAGAACTTCCTTTAGATATTGATTTTGCTGTGATTAAGCGGAAGCAATAAATAGATATTAGCAAAAACTATATCTTGGAGAAAAGTGCAGATCTCCACATACCCCTTACCCCCATTTTGACACCGTACTTGTTTTGCAACTGAGATTTTGACAATAGTGACTTGAGCCTAATTACAACATATTGCAGCACTCAGTTCTAGTATCATGGACTTCGGCGAGAATGTTGTCACGCTATTATAGCCTGTTTACATATAGTAGATGCAGTAAGTGATGACCCTGCACACCGGTTACATATAGTTCATTCATTTGTTGCAATGTTCGGAGAACTTTGTCAACTTTTGTAGCAACCATCACAAAATTTGGCTGTCGATGAGCTCTTCATAAAATCTAATATAAGCATAGGTAAGGCGTTAGGCAATACATGAAAGACAAACCAATTAAGTATGGGTCATTACTGGCAGTCAGAATGATTGCAGGTTAGATTTTGATATTTACAAAGGTAAAAAAGCTGCCAGTTTTTTTCCTCGTTGGTATAATGTAGTTATGAAACTAGTTAGGCCATATTTTCATCGAGGCTACTATTTATTTTATCATAATTTTTCTCCTGGAATGGTACATGACCTGTTTGTGCATCCTCTTTTCAAGCACATGTTGGGTAAGTAAGTCAAAATTCCCTAAAAAGTTTAAAAAATCGTAGGGACTTTCAGAAATCTGAGAAAGGGGCCTTTAGATGGAGTTGTTGATCAAATATCATCGCAATGGCTTGATAATAATTAAGGTAGTTTCCTTTCACACTTCTATTGACAATCCTAATAACAAGATCGGCCATCTGTAAAACAAGGAATGGGAAATCTGGGAATGGAATGGAGGAATGGAAAAACTCGGGATGAGAAAAGCCGGAAGCTGTGAAACCCGGAATCTGTAAAACCCGGAATGTGAAAAACGCGGAATGATAAAAGCCGAAATCTGTAAAACCCGGAATGAAAAAGCCGGAGACTGTGAAACCCGGAATCTGTAAAACCCGCAATGAGAAAAGCCGGAATCTGTAAAACCCGAAATGAGAGAAAGCGGAATCTGTAAAACCCGCAATGAGAAAAGCCGGAATCTGTAAAACCCGAAATGAGAGAAAGCGGAATCTGTAAAACCCGCAATGATCAAAAGTATACGTCATTTATTATAACTTAGGTATACAACAACGATAACTCCAAATATTGTTTTGATTGTACGACTTGGCATATAATAAAGTGTTATTATAATTTATAAGCAAACGCATGCTTTCAGCAATATGCATCCGGAGATTATCTTAAAAAGATTTATAAAATTTGAAAAAATTTTTCGCTCAATTGTTCTTATGGCCATCACATTACTTCAAAAATTGTTAATTAAAAGTACAAAGTGTGTAACAAGGCTTAGCAGTTTGCTAATTTTCTACCATTCTAAAGAATTTTATAATCTTTAATCATGTTATGCTAATAATTTGCAACCATGTACTTACTGACAATGAAAATGATCGCTTAAACACCTCGATAATGCGGCATTCAGAGTTTATTTTTACAAGAATTGTAAGACTTGAAAAATTTGTCTCACTCACTATATCATATTGCTGTCACATTACTTTAAAAAAGTGTTGGGTAATGCTAAGAGTGGCAAAGAAACTTGCCAATTGTGATGAAATTATTTAATTTTATTGTCTTTAATGTTTGAAAAAAAATTGTCGTTCTCTGGTACAAAAATTTCATTGCAAATGTCCATGTATTTGTAGCTATGAGTTCAAACATTCCTGCTCATAAACGTGCGATACCACGAGAATTGAAGGTCATTGTCATGAATTTCGCCGTCGACAGACTTTAAAGAGTTGCATGGCTAACTCCTTGTACAAAAATCACTAAAAGTCAAATACAGGGTGAACAAAAAAGAATAAGATCGTTGTTCATGTTAAATGTTTCTCTGAATTTTATCGAAAAACGCGCGTTAATGCAGTCTCGGCGGTTTTAAAACTTTATATTTCTAAATATCTTTATCATACAAAAAATGTGCTTTCCAACATTGAAAAGGAACAAAAACTTAAATAATGTGGTATTTAGATATAATTTTTATTTGCAATTCGAAATCATGAGTTATGAAACAGTTCACTCATACAGCCATGCGTGATGCATGCAGCTGTCAGGTTACTAACAAAGTACAAAGTGCGTAAAAAGACACAGCAGTTTGCTAATTTCTTCCATTCTCAATATCTTTATCATATTTAATCGTATTACGTATTAAATTTTCTTGTTTCTATTTCGCGCGTTAATGCAGTTGCAGCGGTTAATGAAACAACATACTTCTGAAAATCTTCAATGATAGGCATACAATCATTGAAAATGAAGTAAAACCCTAATCATGAGAAACTTGAACATCATCTGTACACATGACATAAAACTTGCGTTGTCATGTTCAAACATACAGTAAAAGCATGTGATATTAAGACAGTTCACACATACAATCATGTGTATAACTGTAAGATCACTATAAAAAATTACATTGTGTGATACAACAGAGTCATGTGCATCACTCATATCCATGGAATTTGCGCATCATATGATCCAGTCTTCATAAATAACAGCAATCTTACAGTACCAGTTCAAAGCACCAGAGCTTCAAACGAGGAATATTCTTGGAATAAAGAATACGAGGATATTTTCTACCATAGTCAGGTACACTTACAATTCTTACATGGGAAACAAAAATAGGAAACTTAAGTCAGATATTGCTACCTGAAAGTTCGAATGTAGACGACATAAATATGACTTATCAAATTTGATAAAATATTGATTGTTAAACTTACGGACAGTAATTATTATTCTATTTACAACAACTTCGTTTTCTAGAATTGATTTTACAGTGAAATGTGTCCGTTTGCATGCAGTGTATACACCTACTAAGTACGATATACATTAATTCATTTTGTTTTAGCGATGAAGACACTCTGCATTCTTTTGATTCTGATGGTTTGTTATAAATCTGGCAAAATGGAGCAAATGATAAATTCAATTTCGGAAACGACAGTAACTAAGGTTGGTGTTCTTGCTATAGGTTGCTCAAAATCTAGCTTATGTAATAATTGTTCAGACTTCAGAGGATATTATGTGTGTTTGGAAAGTTGATATTTTTAAATCTTTTATTTATTTGCTTTTCAATCATTAGATCAATGAGTGCAATTCATACAAAACAATCTTAACTTAACTTCTGTTTTAGTTGTGGACAGGGTGTAAATGATTTAGTTACTTGCAAAAACATTTCATATATTTATACGACACAAACCATACACATTTAAAAGATTATTTAAGTCTAACAGATATACATTAAGAGTAATGAACTGTACAATGCGTGTATTAAACTAAATCCTGCAATTATTTTTAATTATGATTTGTGTCATTCAATATTTGTCCGTATATATAGATAATAATATAGTTTTTATTGCAATTACGTATAAGTCTGCATGGGTGAGTTTTTTAAAAACTGCAGCGAAATTTGAACGAGTTTTCGCAGTATTTCACAGGTTTCGCTAATAGTTTTGTATTAGATTTATCTTTTGAAAGGTCCATATTAAATGAAAAAAAAAACAATATTAATGTAGTAAGCGTGTAATAATAAAGACGTGAGTAAGAATTTCAGTGAGGTGCAAACAAGTAATGTTTAAAAAATAAACACTTTCGCAGCATCTTTCACTGCAGTTTCTATAAGATTTGCTATAGGAGCTTTTATATATTACTAAAAACCTTGATAATTAAAGCTTTAAGTACAAGTTATGTGTTTTCAGTTGTACGTCATTTCCGGCGTGGAGTCGCCTGTCTAGCTCTTGGCCCAAAATTTTCGAACTTTTAAATACAAAATAAATGTTCTTGAAATTGATATGACTGTCATAAGATGTTTTTTAGACGTTGATACATGCATTTCTTATTAATTGGTACTTATTATCATTGTTTAATTAAATATAGCATTTCAGCCAGGCCAGCCGCCTCATATAAATGCGAATACAAATTTGCCCCGCAAACTAGCTAACACTGCTTGAGCGGGCTGGCCTGTCTCATATTAACAGACTCTAAATCTCTTCTAGGTTTCCGGAAAAATAATGTGTGGATATGTAAACCGTAAACGATTCTATTGCAAAGAAAAAGATACATGCTGTGAATTTATTCCAAGAATACCACAACGCTATTATTGCTGTCCTTTACGTCACGGAGTATGCTGTTATAACGGCAACTGTTGTCCATTTGGTAACATTTGCCACAACCCTTTCATATGTTCGCCTATCATAAACACGACCAAAAACTACGTAAAATGAAAGCTTTTTCTCATCCATAATACTTTTTATGATTAAATTTTTAAATAATTGTAAAATCTTATGAGTTGTGAGAAGTACAAATGTATGAATACCAACATCTGATGAATAAAACTATTTCCGTATTTGAGGAAAATTTGCATGTCATAAGGCATGGCTTTTTAGCAGTGGCGACGAGAAAAGGCTTCAACTAGAGTTTAAACAACTAGAAAGCACAAAAAAAAGAAATAAGCCATCAATATTTTTGTTTTTTTTTTCATTTTTGTACGTATTTTAGCGTCAAAACTCGCTGTTCAAGACGAGTTCTTGATGTTGGGCTAGAATTTGCATGCAAAACAGAGGTAAAATACAAACCCTACCGGGAGGGCTAGCCTTTCCCCTGTGGGGCTCATATAAACAACCTTCCTTACATCTAAGTGACTGGGTTCTATATTTTATTTGAATACCCAGCTACGGTGCTTTCTTTTGGTTAGCTTTTTTACACGATACCTGGCACCTGTGATTATTCTTATTTAGCTAGATCATTTTCATTGCATGGCAGATTAGGTCTGCGGACAGTTTATAGCACACACATGAGATTTATTTAGTTTATCTTAGACTATAAGCTAATCTCGGACTATAAGTTAATCTCAGACTATAAGCTAATAAGAAAAACCATTTTCCTTTTTTCTGCACATTATTAGCGGACACATTTCAAACATTTTTTGATAGAGAGTAGTTTCCATAGTTGTCTTTTTCTCATCTTCCTCACGCTTATTCTCTTTTATTCTTTCAACTTATTTTCGTAGATTGAGTGCCACATAGTAAAGAAAGCTTAAGTTAGGAACATTAATAGTTTGTCGTTGTCTGGGCTTAGTTATGCGAATGTCATATTTTCACTGGAGTTACTTTCTCTGACAATGCCGAATTAAAGTGGGAGATATTTGCAATGGAGTTATGTTACAGAATCAATAAAGAGGCTTGTTTTAGTTGTCTTGCACTGTGGAGGCGTGACCTGATGTTCAAACTTGAGTCCTTATATTTAGTTCAATCTTGTATTTTCATCAGGAGTGATGTCATGTTGAAACCCGAGTTCTAGTATACTTCAGTCCTGTGATTTCATCAGGAGTGATTTGATGTTAAAATTTGAGTTTATATATATCCCCGTCTTGAGTCTTTATCAGGAGTGATCTGATGTTAAAACTTGAGTTTATATATATCCCCGTCTTGAGTCTTTATCAGGAGTGATCTGATGTTAAAACTTGAGTTTATATATATCCCCGTCTTGAGTCTTCATCAGGAGTGATCTGATGTTAAAACTTGAGTTTATATATATCCCCGTCTAGAGTCTTCATCAGGAGTGATCTGATGTTAAAACTTGAGTTTATATATATCCCCGTCTAGAGTCTTCATCAGGAGTGATCTGATGTTGCAACTTGAGTTCTTATATACTTTAGTCTAGTGCCTTCATTAGATGCTACACTTCATTCGTAACATATTCCAATGTAGTGTCTTTATTAAGAAACCTCTCGCGTTGGGAACATTTTTATGTTGGAACTTTTTATCAGAAAGGGTATTTTGTTAAAACATGAGCTCTCACTTAGCTACGCTCTTACACTGTCTTTATTAATACTGATCTGATGTTGAAGTATGCATCTTTAAACGTTGATCTCATTCAAAAATATTCAATGAATATTGTAACTCAAAGTAGTCATATTTACTTCTTCGTTTTGTATCTTAAGTGTTATTCAATTATGATTGCATTACCGGATGTATAGTACATATCTCTGTGCTTTTTACGACATTATTTATTTCATAAAAGGTTACAATCCAAATGATAGCCTTAAGTGATCTTCATTCAACTCTTCTAGGTAATATTAACTGGGTTGAACTTTGTTGAAGAATGGAACAACTTGTGGGTCATTTACATCAATGTATATTGTTTATCTTTTATCTTTTTTTTTCATTTCTTGAACTTACTTTACAACTTGCAGCTCATTTACATCAATGTATATTGTTTTATCTTTTATCTTTTCTCTTCATTTCTTCAACTTACTTTACAACTTGCAGCTCATTTACATCAATGTATATTGTTTTATCTTTTATCTTTCTTCTTCAGTTCTTGAACTTACGTCACTACTTAATTGTGAGTCATTAGTAACAATGTGTCTATAGTGTTTTATCTTTTATCTTTTTTCTTTGCTCCTTGCACTTACGTCACAACTTATAATTCACCAATGAGAATCCCCAACTTTATTGTTCCTATTGAATTTACTAAATCTCTACTTCACTAAACAAAACTCAATATAAATTGAGTACTCAATATGAATTGAGGGTAATTTAAAGGTAGGAATAAAACGGATTTATTTGCTTGTAACATAACCTCAATAAAATCACCCGAAGCCGAATGCAGTAATCTTCAACAGATGTAAGGGTAAGTATTTTGTGGAGAAGCATTAGGCGACTCTATAAAATCGATGTTTGTGACGTTACTTCGTGAGTAAAACTTTATCATCTTTCAAATGGACGAACCATTTTAAATTAAAATTCTTAATCTATGAGTTCCTCAGGGAATTTGTTGAAAACTGTCATAAACGTCAAAGGAACAAAAATCAACTTTGACGCGTTTACGATCTATTTCAAACGAGATATTTTAAACTGGCTTGTGCTCAAAGGACTATAATAGTTCTTGTTATATGAAGTCTTTCTGCTGTAATATAACTTTCATTCTTTGCGTTTGTCTCGTTGCAAAACTTTAGTACTTCTTTGTGTTGTTTTATAGAGTTTGGTTGAAGTTGAAAATTATTTGGCGTGAAGTATATTTTTCTGTAGTTTAGATTCTTTGATGAATGCAGTTGCTCGTACATTTGACAGTGATGGGCCCCACTGTTGTGCGTACGGTCATCTGTTCTTAACTTTGAGTTTATTCTACTGCAAACGTTCTATATGGAAATTGGATCATTGAGGAAAAATGGATGTAAGGATTACATTTTAAACGTTCTTCAATTTGATTGATTGGGATTAAGAAACTTGGCTGTATGCGACAATTTGATTTGTGTCTTCTATCCTGTTGGACTTTCATGGCATTGCGGGTAAAAACAATAAAATATACAAACTGAAGACATTTCGACAAATAATGGCACTTTTACGGAGAGTGGCAACTTGTACCAGTACCAGCTTGAGCTTAATAAAGTTTATATAAATACAGCGATCGTGAAGCTTGCAAAATGGTGAGCAAGTGAAGAGGATGACATGATAATAATTCAGGTTTATATCGTTTATCGTTCATAGTTTGAGTGGAAGATGTTTCTTCACATTCACAAAAGCGTATGTGTGAGATTGATGTTAATGTTAGTATCAGTAACACAGGGTTTAATGATTTAAATATATATTGTTGCTTGGGCTTATTTTGTTTCAGTATAAAATCTAAGCTACTATATCATGCTTCGTGCTTCTTTCAAATGCAACAGTGACATTTCGCATGTGCAAAAAAATGGTAATCTTAAGAATTACATTTTTCACAATTCAAAAAACGTATTAAAACTCAGATATCGATTGCTTTTTTTTCCAAATACGTTGGAGTTCGAGGTTCTTCGGATCAATCACAGTTAAAGGCAAACATTCATATATATTTCGTCAATTTATAGGCTCATAAAGGTTTGTACATAGAAAAAGGACGGCTATCTTTAAAATGGGGAAACGCTTTAGTTTCCAAATACCATAGAGCTACCAGTTAAAGCATACCAATTTCTTGTCAAGTATTATGATATTATTTTATGATTTTTATGATGCTTTGGATTGATGGATCGTCATATGCTCTTAATGGAAATGGAACTGCTGTGTTGATGACAAATGAAGCCAGCTGATGATACAAATGAAAGGATGTTCTTCTGTTCAATCATTTGGATAATGATCCGTCCAAAGCTAACAAAGGAGAAAAAACTGACAGAAGTAAAAGACAATTCAGAAGATCGTTGCCTGCGCTCTTGGGGACCCAGTATATCTAGCTATCTAAGGCGATTCCAAGCAAAGTTCATTGTTTTACAACCTTCGCATCAGGTAATGTGTCTCATTTTATAAAAATTATCTTTTTGTGGTTACGTAATTAACTTATTCAATTACCATGGTTACCCATTTTAAGGATAGCCAAAACGGAATAGAGAAAATTCACATTAAATTCACAGCTTCCAATAATTGCTCATTTGACCGCATTCTTAGCTGGGATGATCAGTATGGTTTGAACATCAAATGGCGGATCAAGACTCTTTACTTACAAAGCATTTTGTTTTCACATTTTGATATATAAAGCGCTCAATGTTGTCTCCATCTGCATTTTATGACGTAACGTAATGTAGCTACAGTATATTTTAAACGACTGTTAACAAGAAAACAAAGAAAAGTCATACAACATGATCATAAATTCTTATACTGATTCCAAATAACACTATATTTACAATTTCAAATAAAGTTTCTATTTGGTTAGAAGGTTTTTTCCGGATTCGTCAGTTTTCCTTCCATTTCGTTTCGCCATAAAAAACTGTGTCCATGTCTTAGGGCAAAAGGATGGCAACAATGTATGAATCAATTTTTTTTCAATTCCATCATGCAGTTAAACTAATTTGTATACGGATGCCTCGTTTGGCCTTTGTGTTAAAGTCCTAGAACAGAAGCTACAAAGACACTAGCTATATTTTATACATGGATGCGTTATCCAGTCTAATATACATATCAGTGTTATGTTTGTGTGTTTTCTCAGCATGAGTTGGGGAAACACCGAGTCAGTCTAATCGGAAAATACCTTTGAACAAAAACATCTATTATAGAATGAGGCAATTGGTTGAATTTACGGTTTTATCTTTATCGTAAGTTATGATGGAAGCAAATGAAACATTACTACCACTAAAAATGGAAGCAAATGTAGCAGAAAAGGAAAATTCTGCTATAGTTAAAACATGCTATACTCCTGTTCCCCCGAAGCGAGGTAAAGGAACAAGAAGAGCATATCTCGTGAAATTATTGATCGGTGCTTTAGTGGTGGTGATTTACAGCGTCCTTTACCGTGATGAGTATAATTATACGCGTGTCTACAACATCAAAAATGGAAGTACAACAGGAGAATACTTCACAAGGAAAGAGATTTTAACGTTCCCATTTTTA